TGTCTGCTTCGAGGCCTCGACTTCAAAATTTTAATATTGCTGTTCGTTCTGATACCAACTTGTGGCTTTGGGATCTATGTTCACGGCCAGAAAATCACATACTTTCTGCGACCTTTATGGGAGAAACCGCCGAAGCCCTTCCATGAAATCCCTCACTATTATGACGTGAATGTGTCGATGGATAATCTCTGTAAACTTCATGGCTGGGGAGTTCGGGAGTTCCCTAGGCGTGTCTATGATGCTGTATTGTTTAGTAATGAGGTGGACATGCTGACTGTTCGATGGAAGGAGTTATACCCTTTTGTGACGGAGTTTGTTTTGCTTGAATCAAATTCGACTTTCACTGGATTGCCGAAACCCTTGTACTTTTCCAAGAACAGGAAGGATTTCAGCTTTGTTGAGCCGAGGCTGACTTACGGTCAAGTCCCTGGGAGATTTAAGAGGGGAGAGAATCCGTTTGTTGAGGAGGCTTATCAACGGTTAGCGCTGGACTATCTTCTTAAACAAGCGGGCATTCAGGATGATGACTTGTTGATCATGTCAGACGTTGACGAAATACCTAGTAGGAACACTATAAACCTCTTGAGATGGTGCGACGATATACCACCTGTCTTGCATCTAAGAATGAGAAATTATCTCTATTCCTTTGAGTTCTTTGTTGATAACAATAGCTGGAGGGCTTCTATCCATAGATATCAGTCCGGGAAGACAAGGTATGCTCATTATAGGCAATCAGATGATATCTTGGTGGATGCAGGGTGGCATTGTAGCTTCTGTTTTCGACGAATCAGCGAGTTTATCTTCAAGATGAAAGCTTATAGCCATTGTGACAGAATAAGGTTTTCTCATTTTCTCAACCCAAAACGAGTCCAAAAAGTCATTTGTGAAGGGGACGATTTGTTTGATATGCTGCCCGAGGAGTATACATTCAAGGAAATTATTGGGAAGATGGGGCCCATCCCACACTCTTATTCAGCAGTGAATCTGCCAGCCCATCTTTTGCAGGACTTTGACCGTTACAAATTTCTCTTGCCCGGTAACTGCTTGAGAGAAAGCGGATGATGCAAGTGGTACGAGAAAACGGTTGATCCAATTTTCATCCACGCTGCAGCTGCTCTGTTACTTGTGAAATTCTACGCCCCAAAGACGTACCCTAATTGCAATTATATTTATCCTCTATGAATGATAGTAGGATGAATTCTCTGACGTGGAATCTGCATAAAACATTGTATAGAACAAAGATAGATATTTCATTCATGGAACATTATGAAACTTGCTGCTGCGAGATAGCATTAGGTTTTAGGCGGCCTGTATAGTTGTGTATATCTTCCTATCCTGCACTTGATGATCCCAATTCTGCAGGAAGATGGTAGTCTAGTTCTTTTATCTTTTCTGTTTGTGTTTTCCCTCTTGGGAAATTTTTGTGAAACATCAATCTATTTATTGTTTCTTAAACGGCATTTCTTTCTTGTCTCTTCTTAGCATTTAGATTTCCCAACAGCAATGTCTTTTTTGTGTTTATGGCAACCGTCTTGGTAAAAAGTTTACACCTTTTCTTTCTAATGAGTAGTCGTATTACATTAGGAGTGGATTTGGGTCGGGCCACCTGGCTTGTGGACCGGACCGGCCCGCTACTATGCGGGACCGGGACCGGGACCGGCCCGCTACTGTGCGGGACCGGGACCGGCCCGGTTCTTGGGTCCGGTTCCGGGCTCGGGTCTTACATTTGGCGAACCGGCCGGGCCGGGCCCGGGTCTGGGCCAAATTGATTTTTTTTTTTTTCCATTTTTTGGGGTTCCACCCGAGTTGGGCTTGATGGTTAGGAGGGGTTTGAGGGGAGGGGGTGAGGGGTGAGAAGGGGGGTTAGGAAAGCAAAAAAAACCAAACCGGATGCCCGGCCCGGACCCGGTGGCTACCCGGGCCGGTCCTGGGTCCACCAATTCGGAACCGCCGGCCCGCCCGGGCCTAGGCCCGACCCGAGTCCACCAATATGTTACATCAATGTTGGTAAATTTCAAGGGTATTGTTAACCATGTTAATGATGTTATGTGTTTGCCAAGAGCCCAAGACTAGCTGAGAAATATGCAATATTAACTGGTTTCAACTTCTTTCTAAAACGCACTTTATGCAACATGAATCCCATTGCAAACACTATAAATGCATTATACATCAAATGAAAATCCAATTGTCCACTAACATATTTCTAACATGATCCAACTCTTCCAAAAAATTGAAAAAAAAAGTTGTCTGGGGTATCAGGCCACCATAATCCCATACAAAGATTATGGGATCCGCCTCTGTTTGGATCTACCTTAAAAAATTGGGTCTAAAAGACTAAAACCCAAGCAGTCGGATCTTTAGCTTTTTTTATTCTATAAATGCAATATTGGTAGTATGAATTTTGATACATTTTCTATGAAAATTGGAGTATAATAAAAGAAATAATTACATATGTACGAGGAAAAAAAGATTATTTACAAAAATGTGGCTATTGATTATTGTGTGAATTTAATTATAGTAACTTATGTTCCATTTTTTAACTTAAATAATCATGACATTACACTGTAGTAACTATTACTCATTTTTTGTGAATAAGTTTCTTTTTTAATAATATTTTTGTAAAAACTTCAAATAAAAAGGTTGTAACAGTTTTAAAAAATTAAACATTTTTTTACTGGAGGCCCCTGCAGGCCGCAGCTGCCTGACTTTTGTAAGGTGTTAGAGACTCTATAACCAAGCCCTATTCGCCGGCCCGAATTTTTTTGGGTCAGTTTCTAAAGATCCGCGAGTTTCCGTACAGTCTTGGGCCGTACTGTGGGCCGCTCGTCCTAGTTGCTTTGGGGATAGGTTTTACTCTCTATAAATACAAGCTCTCTCACTTGTAATCAGTTGATCCGAAATTAATAGCAATTCCTGGCTTGGTAGCGCCCCCAGACGTAGTCCTTTGTGGCGAACTGGGTTACCAAATTTCATGTGTTCTTTTCTTATTGTTCTTTGTATTGCGTTAATTAATTCTTAACAACTTTCTCTTCTGTTTCTCCAACATCCTCCCTTTTTCGTTTCAGCTGTAATGAATGAGGGATAAGTTCCCCACTGGTGCTAGCTACCCAATGGCCAATACCATACCTTCTATATACCCTTTTTATTCTGGTATCACACGTTCACAGATGAAAACATAAGGGTCTGTTTACTAACAGAGATATTTTCCAGTTTTCCAGAAAACTGGAAAACCGGAAAACAGAAAACAGAAAACGTGTTTATCAAAGAAAATTGTTAGAAAACTGGAGAAATGAAAACAGGAAAACGTGTTTACTAAATCGTTTTCCAAAATGAAAAAATGAGACATGTCTCTCTTTTCCTTAATGATTTGCAAAAGTGACTTTTGCTAGTTTTCCAAATTTGGAAAACGCAGATGCTACAATGCCGTTGCAATGAATTTGCATACTTACACCTAATGGTGGGCCAGGTCCCGCTCCGAAGTCAATTCCATTCCGGTATCTCCATCCTCGTACCTTACCCCTACCCTACCTACCCTACAATGACCCTACCCCACCCCGCCACATGCCCCCACCTCGGCCTCACCCCAATCCACCCTACCCTACCGCCACCCTCTACCACCTCGACCCCACCCCGACCCACCCTACCCTACCCCACCCCTCGTATATTACCCCTACCCCTACCTTACCCCTTACCACATGCCCCTACCTCGGCCCCACCCTACCTCCATCCTACCCCCACCCTCGTACTACCATCCTACCCCTACCCTACCCTTCCCCTACCTCGGCCTCACTCTGATCCCGGCCCCACCCTACCGTCATCGTACCCCAAATCCCTACCCTACCCCTACCTTACCCAACCTTAACCCTACCCACTACCCCACCCTTACCCCTAACCACGACCCTAACCCACCCACTACCCCCTCCTAACCCCCTACCCCTAGACCTTATCACCCCACCCCCGACCCATACCCCTTACCCACCCCTACCCATACCTTCCCTACCCCGACCCCTACGAGTAGGTATGTGTGGGTATGAATGGTTGTAGGGGAGTATGGGTAGAGTGTAAGATCGTGGTAAGGGTAGGGGTAGGGGTCAAGGGTGTGGAATTGGGTGTAAGGCGGGGGTATGAGGTATAGGGGCGGGGTAGGGGTTAGGGGTATGGGTACACGTATGAGGTGATCGACCCCACATATTATATTATATATTTGTGTTCAATAATGTTTGTGTGTCTATATATGTATAGGGTTATTTTGAACATTTTAATGTTAAACAGTGTTTTAAACCTTTTGAAGTAAACATGATCTTACAACATTGCTTATTTTATGCGCCGCTTATTAACACGAGTCTTAATAAGCACCATTTAGTAACTCGTGAAGTAAACGTGTCCTCAGTCTTTTGGATGATCACAGAACTGGGTGAAAAAATTGATGAACATGTTTTCAGATTTGAAAATAGAAAACTAAAAAATAGAAATAGAAAATTGGAGATAGAAAAATTGAAAAATAAAAACAGAAAATTGGAGAACGAAAAACAGAAGTAGAAAACAGGAAAATATCTCTGTTAGTAAAAAGGTCCTAATGTTTCCACTTTTCACTTAATGGTTGCAATTAGCCTTATGACAAGTCTATTTGATAGAACATTTTGTATACTACATCAAAAAACATGAAAAAAGTCGATTTTCGAAAGTTAACTCAAACTTATCAAACTCGCATAATTCTTCTTTGAATCATCTAAAAAATTCTTAATGAGTAAAATTAATTCCTTAACTTATTTTGAACAATTTCTTTTGTATTTACAAGTAGCACTGGCCGGGGAAACAAGAAAATTCCTTAAGAATATTATTCAGTCACATTCTCATTAATTAAGCTGGATGCCCACTCAAGCTAATCGTGATCACCGATTAATATGCCCCTCTATCTCCATTTCGCAATTTGCAAAAGAAAAAAAATCTATAATTTGGACAAATAATCAAAATCCATTATTCTTTATTGAAGTAGGAATATAACCCAGCATTGCAAACACTATAAATACATCCAATGGAAATGCAAATGTCCACCATCAACTTTCCCCATAACTCTAAATCACCACCAATTTTCTAATCCCAATTTAGAGAAAAAATCAAGAATGAAGTAATGTTTCCTGGGGGTGCCTACAAGAAAATGAGCTACACAGAAGAAGATCGGGAAGTGTCCTACTGCAATGACACCTTCTGTCACAGCAACGGCTCCTCAAGCATGCAAATGGTGAGGCCGGCTAGCCACAGCCACCACCATCATGTCCCCGAGAAACACCACGGCGGCCACCACCTTTTCGGTGGAAACCACCACGAAAGCCACGGGCTACGCCACCATGGTAATGGTGGCCATGTGAATGAGGCTGTGGAAGAGAAAGTTAAGATCTTTAGTGAGCAGAAGGTGTTGAGTGGAGGAGGGCATAGGGAGGGATATGGAAGTGAGACTCACTTTGCATCTCACGCTGTTAGGGAACCCTACTATTATAGGAATACTGAAACCTTGAAGTATTCGGGCACTCCAAACGGGCGCACCCATCACTTTGAGTTTAAGGGTTTGGATGATTGAAGACTCAATTATAACGAGTGGCCATTTCTGCATTCATGTTGTAAAATAAATTTGTGCTAAAATAAAGAATAATTATGGTTGTGAAATATAAGCTTAGAATAAGAATGATTATGGTTGTGCTAAAATAAGCTAAGAGTTTCATGTACTTCGTATTTCCTTGCCCTCTAAACTTCTGTCCATCTAGCCTGAATAATTGTGAAATATATTTGATTACAAAAAAAATTGTATATGTAAGAAATGTTTATTCTATATACTTCATACTCTGCATGAGTTAAGCTATTCATCTTTTTATACATATGACCTTAATCTTTCTTTTCTGAATTCATACTTCACCGTTCGTTTTTAGTTGTATTAGAACTTTACGTTGTGAATTTTATACTATTCACATACTTTATTTTAACTATATTTTATTTATTAATGTATTACTAAATATAATTCACATATTTGAAAAATATTGTTAATTTTCTCTCATTTTAAATTGGAAAAATTGATAAGAATAATCCCACTGCACCTTTCACTGATCTTCTCATAATAATCCCAAGTTTACATAATTCCAGAATAATCCCACCTTTGCACTCTATCTTCTTCCATTGGACCCTTTTTTTGAAACTCTTATATAAATAATCCCACCTTTATATGTCATCAATAGGTCAGAGTCCAATAAAAGAAGATAATGTGCAAAAGTGGGATTATTCTTGGATTATGTAAATGTGGGATTATTATGAGAAGACCAGTGAAAGGTGGAATTATTCTTGTCAATTTTTCCTTTTAAATTTTCAAAATATGAAATTTTTAATGTTTTTACTAATAAGAAATAAAAGATATTAATGGTCAAACATGTGAGTTGACAAATATGTAGAGTGGACCCTAACAGAGAACGGATGAGGAAATAATTATTATCCCGTCCCAAATTTATTTGCAAAGTCAACCATGTCATCTTTTTTTAGTTAAACCGATTTATTCAATTCAATTATTTAGGATACAAATTTTAAAGATATTTTAATTTGAATTTTGCAACTTTATATAGATTTCAATGTATTTTCTGATATGTAAATTTAAATTATTAAAATTGAATTAATAATTAAAACTTTAATTAATTATTAAAACTTAAAACTTAACTATAAGATTTATGTACGAAAGTGTTGACTTTACAAATTAATTTTGGATGGAGAAAATATATATGATCGGTGTAAATTAGACATAGAACTGTAGGGGTGGGCATAACGGTTTCGTTTAACCGAACCAAACCGTACCAAACCGAACTAAATCGAACTGAAACCGAACCGTATACAATTTAGTTTGGGTTTGGTACTATTTCTTTCAAACCGAATTAAACCGAACCGAACCGAAACCGATAAAAACCGAACAAAACCGAACCGAACTAAGAAACTCAAAAAAACTTTCATATATTATTAAAATTGGTGGTTTGATTTGGTTTGGTTTGGGTTTACTTGAGTAAACCGTTTGGTAAACATTTGCTTAAACCGAATGGTTTGGTACTTTGGTTTAAAACGGAAAAATCGTAAACTGAACCGAACACCAAACAACACACACGCACATATATATACTTTGTATTTATCTTCACTCTTCATTTTTAAGATATAAATAAATCATTTAGACATGAAAAATACGTACATATTTAAGCATATACTCGTATCATTTTAATTTAAAAAAAAAAACTCGTATCATTTTAATTTTTACACATTTCATACATTCATTATGACAAAGTTAGCTAATACGACATATTTGTACGGAGTATTTATTATGTTTGGCGATAACAATAGCAAATTGCATTTATATTAATACATGATTCATTTGAGTAAAATTGTGAATATTACAACATTTGTACCACCGACTCTTTTAGATTTTTTGAATATTTTATGTGATACGGAGTATTATAAATGCTAATCAACTATCTTATTTTTTGTAAGAAGTGATTTTTTGTAGTGATAAAAAAGATGTTACATTTTATTTAAATAATCAATAAATTAATAAAAGATGAGATAGCTACTTTCATTTTCTAATTCTAAAATATATATAGAACTTGATCAAATAAAATAATAAACATAAGCAAACGAATCAAACCAAACTAAATTAAACATAATATTTTTTACTTTGGTAAACCGAACTTCAAACCGAATCGAACCGAACCGAAACCGAACCGAAACCAAACCGAAACACAAATGGTTTTAGTTTGGTACAAATTCTCCCAACCCGAATAAACCGAAACCGAACCGAAACCAAAGAAAACCGAACCGTAAACCGAATTGCCCCCAAGGTGTAATAGGTGATTGAAGTGACGTTGAAAGTGGCCATTATATTTAATTATATTATAAATATAATAATATTTATGCAGGGAAACCCCATAACCCTGGCTCACTAAAATTTTGATACTATCTTTTATTTTTATATGTAAAATACCCTATGCAAAATTATATAAATTATATGGGTGAATTTTAATTTATCCGGCTCACCCTAATTTTCTCCTCCGTCTACAACTTAAATTCAAAACATAAACATGAATTACTATGGTTTCATTAGTACTCTAGTAATTAGTCATATTTAACCACATAACTTTTCTCTAAAAGACATTGGAGATGATCGAGTTTGAGATAGACCATAAATGAGATCATTGAATTGACTAGTTTAGACGTAGTATATTGTGCAAGGGTTTAATGCATCAAACCCCCTTGTGATTTGGAAATTCGGCGCATTTGCCCCAAATCCCCCTGTGTTTAATGCAAGGATTTAAAAAATGCGTCAAACCCCCCTGTGTTTTAATTAATCGTGCGCCAAATCCCTTATGTGAACAAATTCAATTGTCAAATTAAATAAAAGAAAAATGATTAACATTTTTGTATGATTCAGAGATTTTGACATATTTATTTGCATATTCAATCAAAATATTATGAAAAGTGATTTTCAAATCGTTAAATTTATTCATAAAGGGGGTTCTGTGCATGATTAATTAAAACACAAGGGGGTTTGACGCATTTTTTAAATCACAGGGGTCTAATGCGCCGAATTTCCAAATCACAGGGGGGTTTGGTGCATTAAACCCTATTGTGCAAGCTAAGTCTTATTATGAGTCTGTTTGGTAATAGTAAAATTGGCTGAATTGGCTGATTATGCTGGAATTTGTAAAATTCCGACTGAATTGGTTGGATTGACTGATTTATGCGGAAGAAAATTAAAAGACATTATGTTAATAAAGTGAAAAGATTATATTAAAATAGCTAAAATGATATATCTTCTATGGTAACTCTGTAAGTTCAGCCAATGTGACTAGAAAAGTAACCGACCTCAACCTTACTTTTTTTTATTATTACATTATTCAGCATGCAAAATCAAGAGTTACGTATTTGGTGAAAAAATTGACTGATAAGCCATACTACCTTCGTCCCACTATGTTTGGGACAATTCGGTTACGATGTTTGACCGACGATAAAGCAAACGAATCCATGTCTGAATGCAAATAATTTTTAGGAAAAAAAACTACATATTTAGAAATTACATTAAAATCTTTACAATGTCGCAAAAAGAAGAATCGAATTTGATAAAAGTTTGATATATAATTTATAAAGTAAGAGATTAAGAATGGTTTGTGTTGACCAAGTGAATAGTGTATGGGACAATCTTAACGAGATGGAAGGGGTATAAGAGTGATAAGCCGAAAAACATGGTAACCAAGCACGCTCTATATCTAATTTGTTTAGGTTGTTAGGTTGTTTGAGTCTATCCAATCTAATCCGAGTCCGAGTGCAATCATTCTCAATTAGAGCCGTCAAAATGGACCGAAACCCGCGGGCTGGTCCGTTTAAATCCATTTATTGGTGGGTTAGGGTTGTGATTTTCTGACCCATTTAGTTCGCGGGTTTCGTGGATCAACCCACAAGGGTTGCGGGTTTAAGTGGGTTGGCCCACCGGGTTGCGGGTTGGCCCGCGGGCCAATATACCAATATATAATTTTGACTTTTATTATATTAAATATTGTTCTTTTACAATCAAAATTTTTATAATTACAATTAAAAAATTACAACCATTGAAAAATAATTATTATTCCTATAATAAATACTCAAATAAATTGTTGAAACATATATTTCATGTAAAGTTCGATATATTGTTTAACAATTAGTAGTCATGATTTACAAATAATCACTCAAAAGGTATAAGTACATATTGACTTTAATACTACATACGAAGTATTTATTTAATTAAACTTAACAAGTATTTGGTTCTTAGTATTTTGATTTCTTATATTTCATTTACTAACTACTTACTACTATAAATATATACTCTAGGGTAATTATTTTTAAAGAATATTTTGTCATATATATTATTTGCATCGGCCCGCAGGCCAGTCCGTTTAACCCGTGGGTTAGGTGGGTTGGGTTAGGGTTGTAAAAATGATGGCCCGTCATTAAATAGGTTGGCCCGATCCGACCCAACCCATATAAAGCATAACCCGTTACGGGCCGGATCGGGTTGGCCAGCTCTATTCTCAATTCTCAGGCATGACTATCGATCATCAACCAACAGGAGAAATTTCTAAACACGGAAACATAAAATATGCTTCTAATGCAATCAATTTGCAGAAAACATATTCCATCTTTCAATTCCGAAGGGACCAAAGCCGTGGAATATAACAAATTAAACATGCATATAGACTTGGGGGAGGTGCTAGCAAAAATAGGTAGATTCTAAATTGTGGACAAATGTATGTATTTCCCATGTCTGGCTCCATTCTTCGCATGTCTTATCTAATCCCAATTCGTAATCGCATTTTTCCAAATCCCATAGCCTTTCATTCTATTTATATACTCGATCCGCAACGGCGTAATCAAAGTAAATATATTAAAATTGATGAAATTATGGATGAAGCTACCGGATTGTGAAAAAAACATTTTTGAAATATATCCATTAAAAACTTAAAGAAAAAATCAAATGAAAGAATAGCTAAAATGGTTCTATTAGCAAATTCAGCTAGAAAATAATTTAAACCTTATTAGTTTTGTTTATAAATAGTTAGTTGATAAATAATTTACATAAAAACAAGGGTTATCAAATACTCTCTCCATCCCATAAAATTTTTCCAATTTTCGTTTTTGGGTCGTCCCAAAACGTTCTTCTCATTTATTATATTTTTGGACAATTTGTGTGACTCACATTTATTTTATCCTTTTATTACACAACTACAACTATACATTTCACTTTACTCTCACCTCCTTAATATGCGAGCCAAGTCAATGTGGGAAGAATGTTATGGGACGGAGGGAGTAACTGTTAGTTTTGTTTTAAATAGCTTCACTTTGCTATATTGTTTTTTTGTGGAAGATCACTTTACTATATTGTTATTTCATTTCTTCGTATTATTGTTTTGCAATATTAAATGGAGTATTATTATGGGGTTTTCATTCCTACCTATCACATTTACGTCAAAATTATATGTACTTTACTAGTTCCATTAATTAAAACTCGATCATAAAGTACGGCATCAGTTTGCGTGTTTGAATTGAGAGAATCTAAATTACATTCACATTTTTCAATTGGGAATAGATATATTATTGAGAAGACTCGATCATAAAATAAAGAATGTTATTCATCAGTCACATTGTCATTACGCTGGATGCGCACTCAAATTAGTAGTGATCACAGATTAATATTCTCATCTCCATTTTGCAAATGAAAAAAAAAAGATTCTAAAATTTGGACAAAGAGCCAAAATCCATTAAATCTTACCCAAATAGGAATCCCATTACAAGCCCTATAAATACATCAAATGAACTCACAAATTTCCACCAACACATTAGATTGATCCAACTCAAATTCCATAAAGAAAAAATGGTTCACCAAAGTGAAATCCTTTCTGGGGGTGCCCACAAGAAAATGAGCTTCGCAGAAAAAGAGGAAGTAGAAGTGTCTTATAACTTCAATGAAGACTCTTCATGCATGCAAATGGTGAGGCCTCATGTCCCCGAAAAACACCACGGCGGCCACCACCACCTTTTCGGTGGGAAACACCATGAAAGCCACCACCTTGGCCGCCATGGTAGCGGCCGCGGCCGTGCGAATGAGGTTGTGCAGGTGCAAGAAGAGAAAGTGGAGATGTCTAGTGAGAAGAAGTTGGTGAGTGGAAGGCATGGCGGTGGATATCGAAGTGATGAGACTCACTTTGTGATGGAATCTGAGTTCAAGGGTTTGGAGGATTGAAGATCCTAAGCTTTGATGCACGACCGACCATTTCTGCATGCATGTAATATATATTTATATGAATAATTAAAATGTGTGGTAAAATAATCATGGAGGGCATGATCACGTTATGATATGTATGGTGTGAACTGTGAAATAAGTATAAGAAGTTACATATATTATCATACACTTATATATACTTAATATATTTCATATTCCATATTCCATACTATCGTATATATTTCCATCGATCTAATCTAGCTTGATTAATATAATTCGAAACAAAAGTGCATATATGGTTGGTTATTTAATTTACTAAATTAATTGCTCCCAGCTCGTCACCACCATTTGTTGTCGCCGACCACCTGCACCAGCTATCATGCATCACGGGAAAAAAGTTTTGGAAGTGAAAACTATATCATCCGATCAATTCTTCATCCCAAGTTTCTAAAATAATTATGAGTAGCAATCCAGTCACGCCGTTCTGACTCTCCGTCTGGACCAGGCCGTTCGGGGTCCTTTCTGATGGAATTCTTTGATGATATTTTTCGAGTATGTTCTTCATCTAGTCTATTTTATGTCCATTAATTTTTTTCTTGAAATTCTATCGGAAAGACAGTTAAATACTTTTTTTAAACACACTATGTTATATGTGTGTGCGTGTGTAAACAACGCAGTGTTTTTCAATTCCGCATTTGACGAACTCCGCGATTAAATTTTTAGTTTGAATTTGGTGGATATAAACTAGACTTTAAGAAGAACATTCTCAAAACAAATTATAAAAAAATGCCACCGGGAAGGACCCTAAATGGCCAAATGGCCTTGGTCAGATGGCAGGTCCTGTCAGGCCGACTTGACATGATCGCTACTCATATGTGTATTATTCACTAATGGATTTTAGTTCATAAATTCTTTTAGATATATTGGACAGAAGTTATTAGGATTTCCAAACAGGGACTAGAAGTTTAGTTTAAGAATAAACATGTGTTCTTATAATCTTTAAGGTCACGTATCGTACTAAAAAATTACTTCGTATATTATAACTCAATCTTTGTCTTTCAATTGACTTGATTATCGTTCATATATCATAGCTCATGAAATGAACTTTAATTTGAAATGAGGTAAGAACAAGCTAACAACTTAAATGATCACAGATTCACAGCAACACTTTCACTAAAACTTAATTAATAGCTGGAGACGGCCGAAGTACTGAGAGATAAGGTCAATCCCTGAGAAGTCTTGGACATTTCCGCTCAAAACTAAATTTATGAGGTTTTAAATATTCTGATAGTTTGCAAGGAGAGGATGTTTTGCGCAATTTGTAACACTTGTGCTATTGAAGTGGTTGTGAGATGAGAAATGAGAGTTATGAAAGTAGCCATACTGTTATAGCACCATATAATGCATATGTTATTGCGAACACTAAATTGATTTTTATCTTAGCTTCTCACATGCTATTAATCGATATCTAAGTAGCACAAATACACAAACCAACTGTATAAATAGGAGCATCATTCTTTTTTCTTATATTAAAATGTGACTCATTCACTTCTAATTAGAGAAATATCAAACTTTAATTTTAGTAGGACCAAATAAATCATATTTTGGAAACAAAAATACGGATGTAAAAAGCATTTTCTTCTTTTTACTTTACTCTTTCATTCTATTTTGGGATGTAAAACGAAATCAGATTGATAGTGTAAAATGTTTCTGCAAAAAAAAAACTAAATTAAGTAAAAGTTTTCAGTTTACAAAAAAAATTGTATTTTTAGCCTTAGATCATTATATGATTTGTTAGTGTTTCCTTTAGTAATGGAATTTTTACTAAACGCCACTCCCCATTCCCCAAGTAGGCAAGTAGGGGTAGTCATGGACCCGGGCCGGGCCGGTTCCGGGCCGGGCCTCCGGTTTGGTCAATTTTTTTTTTTCGCTTTCCTAACCCCCCCCCCCCCACCCCCCAAACCCCTCCTAACCATCAAGCCCAACCCGATTAACCCCAAAAATGAAAAAAAATGAAATATTGATTCGGCTCGAACCCGGGTTCAGCCGGGCCGGTTCGCCAAATACAAGGCCCGAGCCCGGACCCGCCCCCCACCGGGCCTAGGCCCGACCCGGACCCGAGAACCGGGCCGGTTCCGGGCCCGCACAGTAGCGGGCCGGGACGGTCCCGGGCCGGGCTGCCCGAACCGGGCGACCCGAACCGGGCGGCCCGAACCGGGTAGCCCGAACCGGGTCCATGTCTAAGTAGGGGTCAAGGGGTGGGAAAAATCGCATTGATATTTCCACCACTGTTTAATAAAAAACATTTACATAAATTTGACCAAAATAAAGATGATTTACTAAAATATGACCAGTTACTAAAGTAATAATGAAATCATAGTAATTCATGTTCAAGTTTTGAACTTAAGTTACCACAACAGTACATTGTAGTAACGAATAATCATATTTTTGTAAATAAGTTTTATTTTAATAATATTCTTGTAAAAAACCCGTTTAATAATGTAGTAACTATTAGTTGATGACAATAGAATAAATTGATAATTTTTCTTACCGAAAGAGAAGGGGACTTTATTTAAAGTCTTAAAAAATGCAACAAAAGGACAATTTTACTTCGATAATTGTGTTTAGACTGGAACAACATTGTTTACAACCTCGACGTCAAACATTTATCACTTTCTAAAGCACTTTCAAAAAGAGTCTTTTCGACCACAAGTCAACAACTAGATTCAAAAAAAGACCTAAAGTTCAAATGCAATGGGCAGCTGCAGCTGATGAGGTCAAAATGTCAAATGACTTAAGAAGGGTGGGAAATGGAGTGGCACTGAGATGGTGCAGAAAACTACCAAAAAGATAGCAGCCATCGGAGGCAGAATTCATTACAGTAGTCTTACGAACCAAGCAAAACAAAACAATGTTCCGTCTATAAGTTATATCTGAGCTGAGACAATAAGGGTAGTAGGGGAAATGCAATTTTACAAAAGTGACAAGGTGCAGCAATTAATGTACTTGGCGCTAACACCCAATAATTTTAGCTCCAATTCTCACAGCAAAACTTAAGATGCAATTAAACAAAAGATGAGAAAAATTATTATCTTTTAATAATCAGTCAGAGCAAAGAATCCACAGCAGTTTGAAGTTTACCATCTGTCATCAGATCTTGACCTGCCAACAGTAATGGTGAAAGTTAGTTGAACTTAATTTGGGGCGAAGCCTGAAAAATGGTCAGGAACTTCAAGGGCATAGCTCTGGAAATAAACCCATGGAGATGGGGAAATGTGAAAGTATGAAACTATGAGAAGGCAATAATTTTCAACCCACTAAATAATCAGTAGCAGATTTCCAATATTCAAAAGAACTGCATCATCATCATTACCCCAGTACCGCAAAAGCTCCTACCTACGGTGGGGTAAAGGGGGGTCGGATGTACGCAGCCTTACCCCTATACTAAAGTACAAAGAGGCCGTTTCCGGATGACCCATAGTGAAAATTGTGTCAAAAATTGCATAGACCGACTGTTGCTTCATAACAAAGAAGCGCAGACAATTTAGTGAGCCATTTTGCTTTATTCCATCATATTCTCAAGCCAAAAAATAGTGAGTTTTTGGCTCCATTGCAAATGATAGAGTATTCAAAAAGAACTGCAAGCAACACTATTTAATGGGGGGAGAAGTAGTGATTTTTTTAAAAGAAAGAGACTAGTTAAGAACTGTTCTGGTTTTTATTCTGTTCAAAACCTTCAATCCCCCCCCCCCCCATGAGAGCGCTTACACAATAAGTTTGTCTCAAGGTCAAAAGAATGTTAAAATCTTGACACTTTATTCACATCCATCCTCAATTGCTCTCAACAAGATCACGCCGAATATACAGAGCAAATAAATTAAGAGCCCCTTTGGTAGTCTGATTCGGCATTATGCTGTGCATGTTTTGGCTTATGCTGTGCATATTTTGGCTGAAATAGATTTTCCCAATCACTTCTCTGTTAAGGTATTCCAGCAGATCTTAATCCAAACAACCATAGCCAAACAGACTATAAAACAACATAGACTACCAAATGTGAACCAGTAAACACTGGCCTCAAAAAGAAATATATTATCCCCCATGTGTTTGCAAAAAGAGAAGTGAACTTATAATGTGTAGAATAAAGAGACAGAGAGTTATAGTACCTTTCCATGTTCCTGTTACCAACAAATCTTCTATCCCTACCACCACCTTGAAGAAATCTTCTGTCATCAGTTGACCGAGCAGCGCCTTGAAAAGCTCTTGTGTCCTCTGTAGGAAAAGCACCTTGGGCTGTACCTCTTCTATCATCACCTGGCCTACCACCACCTTGCTGCTGCTGCAGTGATCTTCTTCTGTCATCAACTCGGCCATACAAAGCATCTCCTCCAGTTCCACGCGATCTAGGCCGCCGAACATCCATGAACTCACCACTTCTGTGTTCATCAACAGATCCTGGCCGGGATGGGGGTCTGTCAGTAACTCTGTTCGATGATGACCCTGGCCTCTCACTGTCCTTTTCACCAAAACGAACTTTGTCATCCAATTCCCGGATCAGCAGTTCCAATTCCCTTTCTTTTTTATTTATCAGTTCATCATGGATGATTCTTCCCTTGTCATCTTCACCGGGGTTTTGACGTGCTTCTTTTTTAAGCAGTTCTATTTCTTTTTTCAAATTCTTTTCCTCATCTGTCTCCGGCCTGAAACAATTTTTTCTCATAAATTAGAAATTTGGATGAAAGATATATATGTATATATATTGATTGGTTTATATAAAAAAAATATTCTTCCTGTGAAAAATCAGAATGCATCGCAACCCTTTCAATTGATGTAATGAATGGTTGGATCAATGGAAATTATTGAGCAATTGAGCATTTATTGAATAGGCTTCCTACAAGGATACACTTGAATGTCACAAACTTCACCTTTATTCAGTGCACCCAATATATATGAGCCTTTAGATACCCAAGATGACTGTGGAAGATGTATTCTCATTTTCATATAACAGATTGTTTACTTGCCACCAACTCACTCACACTCATACACAATTCTGATGAGATTTGGTCAGGCCACCATCGTTTTTTGGCCAAAAGAAAATCAAATGAATCAGATTTTCCGCTCATTAGTATCAAGAATTAATTTTCGCTCATTAGACCATACCAGCAAATCAATTTCACTGAAGAGAGATAGACAATGGAAAGTATGTAATGATGAATTAATCCTAATTGTTAAATCATTTCTACTAAGACCTATCTTGTAACAAGATGTAAATCTAGAGGTTTAAAGGCAGAATT